ACTGACTGGACAGCAATAACAATAGAACTACCTCTTTTAGACTCTCTAAATATCTCTTCTAATCCTGCAACAGCTGTAGCAAGCACCTGGTCCTTCTTTATCGCATACTGTTAAATGCTGTCTAGAGGTTGCGTTTCATAGCGACCCTGTATAAGGTTTCTTAACAACGACTGATGAGTTTGAACTGCTGGCCTTGTGATTAGCAGTACAGTACTTGTCCGACAGTGTCACAATGTCACACCAGGACGGCATATATAATATTGTGATTGTTATTGTTAAGTGCTGCTGAATCAGGGTTTCTGAGGAGTGTCTAGTGGGTTTTAACAGCCGACATAGTGGTTACCAGTCCAGAACTTATCTTACAATGCCACACCAAGACTATGTTGTTTGTGTTTTTGTTAGGTGCCGTCAAATCGATTCCAACCCACAGCGACCCTGTATAGGGTTTACAAGGAGCAGCTGGTGAGCTTGAACCACTGACCTTGCAGTTCAAACTTTGCAGTCTGATGCATTAGCCCACAGCGCCATACCAGGACTAAATAGTCTTGCTTAGTTCCTTCATGTTGTGGTGTGACATTGAATCAGTTACAACTCCAAAGAGGGACTGGTGGGTTTGGACTGCAGACCTTGAGGTTAGGAGTCCAGTGTTTATCCTACGGTGCCACACCAGAACTCTATATCCTTCATTGTTGTTGTTATTGTTAAGTCCGTTCCAACTCATAGCGAGCTTGCACAGGGTTTCCGAGGAGCAGTGGGTGGGTTTGAATTGCCCACCACGTGGTTCATAGTACAGTGCCCATCCTACAGCGCTGTAGTTCACAGTCCAGTACTACATAGTCCAGTGCTGATCCCACAGCCCCAAATCATGAGATCATTTCCTTCATGTTGCTGTTGTTAGGTGCCATCAAGTCGGTACCGACTCATAGCGACCTTATGTACAGCAGAACGAAACACTGGCCCAATCCTGGGCCAATTTCACTACTGTTGCCACGCTTGAGTCCATCGATACTGCCATTGGTCAATCCATCTTCTTCATAGCACTTTGTAAATCTGACTCTATTTGTCACTAATATTTTTGCTACAGTTTGTTCTCCTTGAAATGTAAATGCATACTTATACACCCAGCTCCTAGACTATTGTCTGATACATAGTTTTGCTCAGAAATTTAAAAAATGTATGTATAGTATTTTAAAATCCAGTATTATCTGGTTGGACAGCTTGCATACTACCCATCAGTAACACATGTAAATATATGAGACATTAGGAATGGTATAGGCAAATAATTTGCTGGATATGTTCAACAGTATGATTGAATCAAACATATAAACTTTAAAGTGGTCAGTCCTTACTTTTTGTTCATTTTATGAGTCACTTTCAAAATCATTGTCATGTAATGTTTACTTTCTGATATTGTTTGTTGATATATAATATTTGCAAATCTGAATCTGAATTGTGGTAGGGAATGATATGCTATGATAACATTTCAGTTCTTTTTGCTATTCTGGGCATACTATTTAGAGGATGCAACTTACTATTAAATTGGACATGTGCATATGGTTTACCAGCAAACTTCTTATAATACAAATATATTCCTGAGAAATATTTTAAATCCACACTAATGCTTCATATCTCAAGCTAGGAATACTGTTATAAGATGCTCGTAGTTATGAAAACTCTTGATAATATATGATTTATGCCATTCTCTTAAACATTCTCAAGCCATGTTCAATAATGCTTTGCTTACATTTTGAAATTTCTTTGTAACTCAATTAATTGAGTTTCAGTATAGAAAAGTTAGTTTTTATTTTCTTGGTCAATCACTTTGACATTATGGGGATGCAGAAAACTCAAAACAGGATTACAATTCCTCTATGCCTGACAAAATAGTTTAACCAAAAAGGATAAACTACATAATTTCAAGACGTGAGGCTACTCGTTCAGTTTTAAGTCATCTTTGGGGGATAACTTCTCTCTAATATAGCAAACAATAGAGCAAATCATTTTCTATTCTTTATTAAAAATGATTGCCATGGATTGAATTAATAATTTCTTACAGAACAACAAACAAGTTGGTGAAGTTAGTTTTTCTTCCACAAGCTGATATTTTCTTTAAAAAAAAAAAAAAATACAAGTTCAATGATTCAAGAGAACAGATTTTATTAAGCCCCAGACCTTTGCTGCTTTTAACAACAGACAACAAACTTTTAGAAACACAAACATGATCTTGATTTCAGTGTAAATGCAATCTACTCAACCAAATGATATTTAGAGATACTGGAATTTTCTAGAAGTGACTCTAGCTATAAGCAGTCAATGATTAAAACTTTGTATCATCCTATATTGAATGTAAATTTTAGTTGATTCTCCCTGCCTATACTACTACTAGGTAGATTGCTTTATAGTACCTCTTTTCATCATCCACATATTATTTGATGATACAGAACATGAAATAATCTTAGTCTCCAAGTGACCATTATGTATCGTGTTATACATACTCATTTAGTATGTATAAAGAAGAATATAATCACACCTAGCCCAGCAAGTCAGCAAGAGAACATTTTGAAATTGTTCTAAAAGTATCCATATTTATAAAAGGTTTGGGATGACTGTATTTTTAACAATTGCTCTCACTTCATGGAACACATTTAATCAAGAGTGTTAAGTAAACTGGTAACACTGTTTTTAAAAGCTATCCTGTCAGGAGTATTAAAACTAAGGAATTATTGTATATAAAACTTACCTTCTTAAGAAAATACTGGTTTTACTTTAGGATGAACATAAGCATAATTTTATGCATTTATATTTTTAAAATGCTGTTTGGTTGAAAAATTTTACCTATAAGTTTGGTAGTGATTTCCAGATATAAAGAACAGTTTCTTATTAGGAATAAGAATCAATAAGAAGATAGCATTATTTTCTGAGAATAAGATTCCATTCAACAGAATCCTACTGAATATAAAGGTCAAATGATCTAGAAACAAGTATGGAAATAGGAATCAGAGCTCCTGAGTTTATGACAAATTTTAATTACTCATTCATTATTATATTACGTATATACATTTGTCACTCTTTTGTCTTTTATTTAAGATTAAGTTTTTCTGAACTTGGATTCTTGGACTGATTGGATTATATGGGTGATTTATAACCACTCATTACTTTCCCCATGAATTTTAATTTACTTATTGGAGACTATTTAAAAACTATTTTTTTTTTTTTACTAATAAAATAAGTTGATATTTATTTTAGGCACAAATTGATAGTAATTTATTAAGAAAATGCTTTATAACTGTGAATGACTAGTGAAAATCATACTTTTGAACTTTTGTTATCTCCACTTCTAGTGACAATAATAAAATCTGTGCTTGCTCTAGCAGCACATACACTATAAATTGACATGGTGATGAAGGCTTACATATAAAAATAAAATAAAGTGCTTTACAAACTACACACCTCACAAATAAGCTGTGATCATCCAATGTTGAATGCACTGGACACCATATAACATCATTTATAAATAAAATAATGAAGATCTAATTATCCATTATTGACCATATAGATAAAAATGCATTTATTTATGTAAATAAAATAATGAAGATCTAATTATCCATTTGTGACCATGTAGATAAAAATGCATTTATTTCTGAAAATGATTTCACTTTCCCCATACAAAGCTTGATGTACAAAGTATTAGATGATTAAAGTTGTGTCTTTATTTAATGACAAGTGAATCCTAAAATTTTCCACTTGTTAGATACAGAATATAACTTACGTAAACTTTTTAAAGGGAAAGACAACAGAATAGGCATTTAATAATGCCACATTTTATGGTTGAAAAATAAATTTGGTTCAAGTTTAACAACTATTTAAATTTAAGATTGGGATATTTAATCCTCCAATTTGGACTGGAACATACTTGAAAAAGATATATTATTAGTGACACTTAACATTAATTTCTCTTGTTGTTAAGTGCCGTCGAGTTGGTTCCAACCCATAGCAACCCTGTATGAGATTTCTAAGGAGCAGTTCGTGAGCTTGATAATTCATTTCATAATACTTTATGTGAATGATCATATCTTTGTTTTTCAAAGAAAAGTATGGTGAGTAATATGCTATTTATTATATATTTTTTAAATTGTAAATTGATCCATATCAGTTTTTAAAAACTGAATTAGGTATGTATTTTTAATATATGAAAAGTACATTCAAAATCAACAACATGTTACATAGATTATATGTTTTGTGGGGTTAATAACATAAAATATTATTAGAGCTTTTCTGTTTTGTTTACATTATTATCCCAATAGCATATTGGTTAAGTGCTTGGCTGCTAACTTCACAGTCCAGATTTTTAAAACACCAGCTACTCTGTAGGAAAAAGGTGCAAAGGTCTGTTTCTATAAAGATTATGGCCTTGGGAACCCTCTGAGGCAGTTCTAATCTTTCCTAGAGGAGATCTATGAGTCAGTATGGACTTTACAGGAATGAACAGTTCTGCATATCCAATGAATGTGGGTGACAAAGGGTTGCTTTCTGATCTTGTTTTCTGAATTGGTTATTTATAGATTTTAAATTACATAGAGAAATCTCACATTTTGCCATCATTTTCTTTTGTAGACATCTTGTCAATAACTCTTCAGAGCTCATAATCAAAAAGTAGAGAAGATTTCAGGAACTTTTCAAAAGAATTTTCATGTGTTTCATGTCCTTTGACTGTTTTGACACAAGGAGTTACATTATTGTCAGTTATAAATATATAAGTCAAAACACTTAAATATTCAATAATGAAGAATATAATCTGTCTGGTTGTATACTAAATAGAAAACTCATCTCAAACGCAATTTGTTTGTGTCTGTGTGACTCAGCTACATAGTTTGCAAATTACTATATGGGTTGCTTTCAGTGGCGTAAACAGACTAACTCAACCATATTGATCAGTTTTAGCATTTGATGTAAGTAGTCCAACAAGCTTGGTATAAAATAAGACTATATAAGGGACCTAATGATTTTCTTATTAGTTTATAATGCGTATTCAAAGTAGTAAGCCGAGAAGATACTCCCTTCTTGACAACACTTCAAAATTCACCCACAATAATTACTGAGATTAAACTTCAATGTATTTTATAAAAAATATTACTTTCACAGAAGAGGAGTTACAATTGCACAATGGTGGTTACAATGGTAGAAATACATATTGTCAATAAGTGCTAGCAAGAGGTTTAAAAATGACTGTACAGCACCGCATCAGAGAACTGTGTAACAGCAAAATGGTTAATATTATTTTCCAAATAAATAAAATCATAAAATAGTTTTGAAATTGATAGGAGAAGTGCTCTTTTCTAATTTCCACTAAAACATTTTCTGATGTGGAGCAAAAGACATTTAAAAATGACATTAAAAAAAAAAAAAAAAAAAAGACATTCATGCATTTAAGCCACCATTAGTCTCTGACTCTAATATAAGGCAAGATCATTAATCTTTTGCAAAACTATGACTTTAGCCACTTAAACTTTTTTTAGTGCTTTTCATGACAAGGACATGGTAAGTCTTGTAAATTTAGGAGTTAAGATGTGTTTTCAACAGGTTACTTTAGACAGGCTTGGCTGTCTTTTGAAACACAAATTTTACAATAAAAATGCTTTGGAGAAATGATAAAGTTATAATAATAATAAAAACCCAGAAGGGGTTCTATAGAGTTTATCACAAATGGCATTGCTTATATTAATGAAAAACAAATCACATTTGTTTATGTGTCATCCTCAGTCTTAATGATGTGGAAAAGGGTGACATTGAATAGGACCTGGTGCCCATTGTTCCAGGCATAAAGAGCTCTATCTCTTGCATTGTAGTCAAGCATGGATATGTGAAAGTATTGGTTATGGAAGGGAATGTCTGTGTACTCATATGTGGAGGTTTTGGTGGAATAGGAATAATATACCTTGGCTCCAGTTAAGTGGGAATTGGTGACATACAATGTCCCACAGATCATGAATGATTCCCCTGCACTTCTCTTGGGGTAGCCAGTGCTCCAGCTCTTCATCACTTCCAAGGTATCTTGGTTAAGCTGGCTGATGACAATATTGCCTGCATTCTGGTTAGTTGCATACACAGCCCATAGCCCAATTTCATCAGCCATTAGGTCAATGTCAGAGAATCCACCCCACGTGTAGGGGTAAACGTTGTGAAAGCCAGCATACTCCAGGCTTCGCTGGGCAAGAACTCTCCCTGTATCAAAGCTGTATTTGATGATGATGTTACTCTGATACTTGTTAAAATATAGAGAGCCATTGTAGACAACATGGTTTGTTCCTGCCCATTTGAAAGGGAGGTTGTATGTCCTTGATTCAGCCCCACTGACAAAGTCTGCAATTGATTTGTACTCACGGACAATTTTATTGTTAGTATAACTGTCCATGTACCAGACCTGAGAAGGAAAAAAAAAAAATGGAGTGACTAAATTCTGTACTTTCCTGAGATTTCCAAAATAAAGGCAGTGAGAGTAATATCAAATTAATATAAGCATAATAAGGCTATGGAAGACACATTTTCTAACTGCTGTCCTGCTTCAAGGTGATAGTTTAAAAAACATATTAGCATGATCTATATTGATATTTTCTTTACTGGTTTTGAGTGGATTTGCTTTTTGTTTTTACTTACTACTTTTTTGACATTCAGCACATATCACTGAGTGAAACAAACATACATCAATGCAAATCACATCATTAATATTACCTGACAGATCAATGTGTTCATTTATAATTGCAAAAATAAATCACTTTCAGAAAATTATATTTTTCCTCTCTTGTTCTGGAACATGTTTGACCAAATTCTATGTATTCAACTCTTTTTGATTTATGGGTACCACAGAAACATCTAGCAATACTTATTCATACTTACTGGATCAGTTTATAAGTACAATTACCTTTTAATGAAAACATTTTAGTAATTTGGTAACTAATTTTACTTGGTGCAACCTTTATGAATCTTAATTTATACTAAGTTTTGTAATAAGATATCAAGTTTTGACAACTTTCCAGTATATTTATTTACATAAAACAGTAATTGCCAGCTTATTAAAAACTCCCCAAAATTTCAGTACTGTTTCTTTTTACATTACCCATTGACTTCAGGGATGTTTTTAGCTGGTTTAATAAATTGATTATCCTTTAAGTTCGTTGCTTATGCAATATTGTTTTTACACTTTAAGGAGCAGATTTTGGAGTCCTGCCTGTTGTGGCACTATTAAATAAGCATTGGACTGCTAACTGCAAGATTAGCAGTTCAAACTCACCAGCTGCTCCTTAGAAATCCTAAGGAGTCACCACGAGCCAGAACCAACTCTACAGCACTTAACAACAGCAACATACTGGAAATTTTACATACTTTCATTAAGTTCCTTACAATGATTGATTTTAAACCTGATTAAAAAATAGATTTACTATACTGGTGTGGCATTGTGGATCAGCACTAGACTGTGAACCAAAAGGTTGACTGTTCAAACCACCCAGCTGCTCCTCAAAACCCTATACATGGGTCACTATGAGTTGGAACCAACTCAATGGCACTTAACAACAACAACATATTGGTAAAGTATATGAAAGAACATTAAAAAATAAAATAAGTTTGCAATTTACCTTTGGAGATGTTCATGCTATCAAACTGAAAATATATACAAATAATGTAATGCTTTTTACAATTAATTACTATCCTTGAAGGAAATTATTAATTAGTCCAGTAGAGATAAAGTATAAATAAAATATAATGTACAAGCAAATGTGTTTGTTGAAGCAACATACTCTGTTATTTTTTTCAGATGCTAATGGATCTGTCATCCAAGCGCCAAACCGTGTTCCAGATGTCTTGACTGTAATTGGGCCTGTGATTTTCATCAATTTGCCACATGCTGAAATCAGAGAAACATAAATAATTTGGGTGAACATGACCAGTGATTCAACATTCTTATCAAGAACAAAGAAAAGAATGATACACAAAGCAAGTTCATGGAATAAATTCCAAATGTTATAAATGTACATTTTATATTGGGTGGGCTGTAGTTAGCAAGATTTTGAACCATGAGTACTTGTAATTTCAATGTTTTAAGTCTAAATTGTGACTTGGAGATGATTTTGTACAATCTGCAAAGAAATAAGATAGAACTGTTGTTTTTATTACTTAATACAGCAGCTGCTACTTCTAAGTAAAAGAGCCCTAGTGGTACTGCAGGATAAGCACTGGACTGCTGACCCAACACTGACAGTTCAAACCCACCTGCTGTACTGTGAAAGAAAGATGAAGCTTTCTACTCCCGCAAAGATTTACAGCCCCAGAAACCTTACACAGTGTTGCTCTGAGTAGGAATCATTTTACAGTTTGGTTTTTCAGTTTTCCAAGTAGAGAAGTCAGAAAAATTGAGCAAATTGACCTTGGGCTTGTTTACCTGATCACTTCTTCCCCAACACCAACCACACATACACACACACCTCCTTTGAGATTAGGGCCAGTTTCTAAATCTCCACTGTTACTGCCATAGAGTTGATTCCAACTCATACTGTCCCTAAAGCGATAAATCTTTACAGGAGCAGAAAACCTAATCTTTCTACCAGGCGGTGACTGGTGCATTTCAGTTACCAGCCTAATGGTTGAAAGTCTAGTGCTTATCTTATATTACCACTAGCGCTCCTCAGGGACAATTTATACAAGTCAAAAAGGGCTCTATTTTCAGTTTGTATTTATTAAAAAGTAGCTCCTGTGAAACATATTGTTGTGCAGTATCAACAACAAAAACTTTATTTACAGTAGATTTGGAAGAAAGGTAGACTTCTGAAAGGCAAAGTCTTGTGCAGATGGCAGTGCTTGTTAGAGGAGATTTGTAAGAAAAAAACACAAGTTCTCTGACCCTGCAGTTACATGTAGTGAAAGATTCAGAGTATCATGAGATGAAATAAACAATGAAGAGTTGATCACTTTCTTTAAAAAATTAATATTGTTATCACTCTCTATATTAATACCCTAGGAAAAGCTAGACCTTCATAAATGATGCCAAAACCAAACAGAAATCCAATGCATTTTTGTGACATTTTTAAATGGCCAAATTTAAAAGTACTTTATTACATGCATTATGAAAGGCAGAATGTAAGGAAGTTATTATGACTAGGTATCTATCAATGTTGGCCGCTGGTCTAAACAAAGCAACACTCTTTCTTCAACATATGTATTTTATTTTCTTTCATTTTACTAAATTGTTGTAATATTTGCTCAGCCTTACTTTCATTTTCCTTTGCCTGTCTCTAAAACTGATCAATTTCCAGTTAGTTTTCACTGTTTCCCAAGTGTTTAGAAGTAAAGGAACAGATCCCTAAAGTAAATCAATAACAAAACTAATTTTAGCATGATTCCTATTTTGGCTAATTTTTCACTCAATATGTTCCACATAAAAATAATTTTTAATACAATATGAAAATATGAAATAATACAAATACAACATATGTTGCATAACTATTGCACATTTGGAATCTTTGTGTGACTCTGTGGGTTAATGTGCTGGACTGCAAAGTCAGTTTGAACCTCAAGGTCCACAGTTCAGGCTCACCAGCTGCTCCTCAGAAACCCTATACAGGGTTGCTATGGGTCAGACCAGACACAAAGGCACTTAACAACAGTGCACATTTACTTTTACTTCAGTGATAACTACATATGTAATAATTGGGCACTTTATGAAACAAATTGGACATATGTTTCTTTGTTTTGTGAAAGAAACTAAATGTGATGTCATCTTTATGTGGTGAATTATTTTATTTTCTTCAAGGCTGATTAATCAGGCAAATAACTTTAGAAGATTTTATGGCATTATTCATTTTAAATGGCAAGACCTTGGTTAAAACTTATTTAGAATGTATCAGCTCAATTTGGTATGAAAACATAAAAATATACAAGTAAAGAAGTATCAATTAAAACTAAAAAAAATGCTAACCAGTTTTGAATGGAGTTATTTGAGTATTTATTTCTCTAATTATACAATAAATGAAAGAAACTTGAGATAGCATTGCATATACAAAACAAGAAAAGAAAATGAATGGAAAACAATAAAAAAGAAAAAAGGCTATTGATATTTAAAATATAAAAAAAATTTAGAAAGCAACACATTACAAGATAGAGTTATCCAAAAATGTTTAAAGCAAAAAGATAATGAAAATAAAAAATAAAAACACAGGCATATTGAATAAATCCGGAAGTCCATCATCTGAACAGAAATTTTTCTAGAAAGAGAGGGAATAAAAAGGAGAGGACTGGTCTCTTCTGAAAGTATGTCTAAAGGATGATGAAGTTTGGCCATTCTGACTTCAAAGGAGCATTCTGGCTGTACTTTCTTCTGACACAGATTTGTTTGCTCTTTTGGCAGTCCATGATACTTTTAATATTCTCATCCAACCTCATTACTCAAATGCATCAATTCTTCTATAGTCTTCTTTATTCTTTGTCCAAATTTTATATGCATATGAAGTTATTGAAAATATCATGGCTTGGATCAGATGAGCTTTGTCCTCAAACTAATATCTTTGCTTTTGAACAATTTAAAGAGATTTTGCGCAGCATATTTGCCTAATACAATACATTGCTCAATATCTGGACTGCTATTTCCATGAGTGCTGAAGTCTTTGACAGTGTCAATCTTTATTCCATTTATCTTAATATTATTTATTAGTCCAGTGGTGAGGATTGTTGTTTTGTTTACATTGAGGTGTAACCCATACTGAAAACTATAGTCTTTGATCTTCATCAGTATTTTAAGTCCTCTTCACTTTCAGGAAGCAAAGTTGTATCATCTGCATATTGCAGGCTGTTAATGAATCTTCCTCTAATACTGAGGCCAAGGTTTTCAGAATGAAGATGTTGGTAGAACTCTTCAGTTTCATCAAAACTGGCTTTAGTGGTGGTGCATATGTTTGAATAATAGTTGTCCCTAGTCTTCCTTTTAGACATATGGATAACATCCTGTCACAGACAGTGTTGTACTTTAAGGTAGATATTGAAATATTCTTTTTGATGATGAATGCAATATCATTCCTTTTCAATTTGTCATTTCTGGGCATAGTAAACCATGAGATTGTCAGATTCAAAATGGTCAATACCAGAATTTATTTCAGCTCACTAATACCTAGGATATTGATGCTTATGTTTACAACTTCCAATTTTTCTAGATTCATACTATGTACATACCATTCTGTTTATTAATGGATGTTTACAGGTGATTCTCCTCATCTTGAGTTGTGTGCCCCATCAGCAGATGACGATCCCAAACACTTATTCAAATCATCATGGTTAACTCTACTTTGAGAAGGCAGCTTTCTCTCAGTCATATATTGTCAGATACAGTGCCAGAGGATTTGCCAATCTGAGGGGCTCATCTTCCGGCACTGCATCTGACACTGTTCTGGTGCTCCTCTTCATGTTTCAATATTCAATATTCTGTTGTCATCTTAGAGTGTTCCACTTATGGTCCTAGAGTCCTCTGTTCCTGGAATGTAAGATTAACTACTCCCTCCTTTATGTTACAAAACTTCTATTTTTACAGTTGTGACAGTCACAATTAGTCATGATATCAATTACTCACTATTGGATCATAAGAATCTTATCCCCATCTCCTTTCACCAGACTCGTCTAGAGAAGATTAAAACTATTCAGTGGGGATTCTACCTTCCCCGGCACACTCAGAAACTAAACTCCCTCTTGAAAACTTGTAAACCACTTAGTTTGTGCCTTTATTGCCCCCCTCCCCCATTTTAGGTATCCAATGTCTAAGTTGCCCATCTCTATCAACCCTGTGTACAGAGGGGATAGGCTTGATTCTTGATGTGAAGATGCCTTCCCTTTTGTTTGGTATTTTGAATTACTGCATCTGTAAGTATAGGTCAAGTTCATCAAATTGTAGCAATTTGCACATATTTCTTTAACAATTTTTTTTATCTTCCTCTCGTTGAGTTCTGATAATTCAAACCATTGAAACTCAGTGAAATGTGTAATATCTTCAAGTTTGGGCATTCTTGTGCACCTCCCTCACTTCATATCAGCTGGACGCTTCACTCTCAGCTCTAGCCCTCTGTGTCTAGGTCCTTGTTCATGGGCTCAGGAGTTCTCAGGTCTTACACACTTCAGCCCAACCAGCCCTTACTCTTTTCTCTCTCATCTCCAGGTCACTGAGTTTATGGGATGTGTTAGAACTCAACGCATATTTTCATTACTGCCTTTCCCCCATTTCTGCTCACAAATAAGACTAAAGCGTTTGCCAGCAAGCATACATGCCAGCTAATGTGTCCTCTTTGAGTTTCAGTCTTGGAGAGGGGTTTGTCCTGAAGGGACTTGATTGCTTGCCTTGATGGCTCCCAGGAGAAAAACTTGTTTGTTCTTGTAGTAGTCAATGAGACTGCCATTTTTGTTTTTGAGTTTTCCTGCTGGTCTTTTTCACAAAAAGTATCTTCTGTTCCTCTAGCTGCTCCAAGCTGGTCTGCATGTCCTTTTAAGTGGCAATGTCCTACCTTAGATGGTTTGGGATGGGGCTCAGGACTCCACCTAAGGTCCTATACATGTAGTGTTGTTTTACTATTTTATTATTATGGATATTTTTTATTTTATTTTACAACTTCAGTTCTATGTTCTGTAACATATAATAATATCTCTTTCATGAGGAAAACTTCATTACATAACTTCAAATAAATCTTATTCTGAACTGCTCATATCCATAAATGGTCAAGCCAAGGCAATTTATTTAATTTATCATGTTTACTTTTTGTAATAGTTAGGATTCTATGTAAACTTTACTTGGCCATGATTTCCAGTGTCTTAGCATTTGAGTTGTGCTTATCTGCATGGTCATGAAACCTAATACAGGCATAGTTAACTTTATGA